GCCCCCCCAGCCCCACCACCGGTAGTACCACAAGGACCTCGAGACCAGTCGCCGTCGCCACCATCAAGAAACAGGGGAAGAAGAAGGGGGCGAGGGGGCCGGAAATCCGACCAAGGTGAAGTCTTTAAGCGGCCAAGCTCACGCCCATGCACCGCAGCGGATAAACCCGGAACCAGAGAAACGGGTCGGGTCATGATCGACCCGGTTTTACCAAACGGGTCGGGTACAAGTTTCCCTTGTTCAAGCAAGTCTTTGACTTTCCCATCTAGGCCTGGTTTTGGGCAGCTTGGGACAAAATGTATTGTCAAGGCAAATCATTTCTTTGCTCAGTTGCCAGACAAAGACTTAAACCCATATGATGTAAGAATTTTATTTTTTATTTATTTAATTTTTAATTTTATAAATTAATCTAAAGAATTAATTTTTAGGGGCCCTTTTGTAAGCTGACATTCATTGTGTGTTTGTGGATGTTTTTATTTTCCTTCTTACATCTCTCGTGGGTCCTTTTTGCAGGTTTTATAATTGAGTGAAATCTCTGTTTTTTTTTTTTTTTTTTTTTTTTTTTTGTCCTAGCATTAATGAGACTTTATCCTTGTTGTTTGAATTTAATAAAAAAAAAATCAACTTAATTTTTTACTGCAGGTAACTATTACCCCCGAAGTTGCATCGAGGGTGGTAAATCGAGCTATAATAGCGGAACTCGTGAAAGTATACAAAGAATCCGATTTAGGGAAGAGATTACCCGCGTATGATGGGCGGAAGAGTCTTTACACCGCAGGGGAACTTCCTTTTGCTCGGAAGGAGTTTATTGTTAAGCTTGTAGACGAAGAAGACACTATCAACGGCCCTAAGTAAGTTATTGTATACCTCGTACGACACTCGTGAATTTGGGTTGATTTTAGGAAGATGTACGTTTTTAGACCAAAATACCCTTGTCCACTAGCAAGAGAGAGAAAAAATAGTTGAGGAAGAGGGAGTGGTGGAGAGGGTTCGTAAGGGTAGAATTGTAAGTTATGTAACTAATGCAGTATTGGAATTCTAAAGTGGCAGATAATATAGAATAAAAAAAGATTCTTTAAAAGGACACGAGTAATTATAAATTTGTGATAAATGTGTAGTTCGATAATTTGTTAATAAGGGAATAATTGGAAATTATGTAATTAATGCAGTATTGGAATTCTAAAGCGACAAATATTAAGGAACGAGTGCAGTAATTATGAATTTATGACAATTGTGTAGTTGGATATTTCGTTATTATAATGTTTTTTTTTTTTTTTTTTAACTTTTATCTATAATTTCAGGAGAGTGAGGGAATACAAAGTAGCAATCAAATTTGTCGCACGTGCAAATTTACATCATTTGGAGCAATTTCTAGCTGGTAAACGAGCAGATGGTCCAAAGGAGGCACTTCAAATTCTCGACATTGTATTGAGAGAGCTCTCCGTGAAAAGGTACGAGGAATAATTTTTTTTTTTTTTCGGGATTCTTGATTTTTATTTTCTATCAATATAATGTTTGATTTTTGCATGTGTGCATGTATAGATTCTGTCCTGTCGGAAGATCGTTTTTTTCTCCGGATATAAGGAAACCGCAAAGACTAGGTGACGGTTTGGAGGCGTGGTGTGGATTCTACCAGAGCATACGGCCCACTCAGATGGGGCTGTCACTTAACATAGGTAACCAGCGTGTCGTTTTATACATTCGTGCCGCAAAAAAATATATATATAATTCAACGTATTGACTAAATATCGCGTCTTTTCTTGGATTGTAGATATGGCTTCGGCTGCATTTATTGAGGCTCTTCCCGTTATTGAATTCGTTGCTCAATTATTGGGGAAAGATGTTTTGTCGAGGCCGTTATCCGATTCGGATCGCATTAAGGTCGGTATTTCGTTTGATTGTATTCATTTATTTAATTTTGCCACCTTTTTTGTTTTTAAATATACATTTTAAAAATAAAATAAAAAATTCAGGTTAAAAAAGCACTTAGAGGAGTAAAAGTTGAAGTGACTCATAGAAGAGATGTTCGAAGAAAATATCGAGTTTGCGGCATTACGACTCAGCCCACTCGTGAGCTAGTGTAAGCTTTATGCCAACAATTCGACATTAATTCTTGAATATTAGCAATTATTGAATTATATAAAATAATTTTCAGATTTCCGGTGGGATGACGACTCGAACATGAATCCGTGTCGAGTATTTTCA